TCTACGTGAAGATATGATTAGTTATCTACTTCATTTTCCACTCTGTATAAAAGATTGTTTCCGTGAATAGAAACACAATTCTATCACAGTTTCATTTACAGCTCTCTTCCTAAATCAGTAAGTGAGTGAAAAACAACATCAAAGGCAACTTTTTTTTTTTAAAAAAAAAAAGGTTCCTTCATCGTTATTTTATATGGAGATTTTTCCTAATCTTCCATCTGTTATCTGATTCGAATGTCTTTTCTGTGTCCCTTATGATCACTTCCCAACTGTTGGATCCGTCTTCAAGAGTTGGAAACTTGAGACTCAGCTTCCGGAGTTTATGAACCAACGTAAAGTCCTCGGCTTTACCAGAAATGTCGTTGTCCTGTCTCAAGCCCATGATTAAGTTGGAGCAATTCAAATTCGATTCAATTTAATTCAATGCACCCTTATTTTTAATCTAACTCAATTCAAAATACTCGGCTGCCATTAACTTGTACAAAAATGTCTATCAGTGGCACCCAAGTTGATGAATACACCAAGAGTTTGCCGTACAATGGTGTGTCTCCACGTTGAGTTCATGCAAATTTGTGTTGAATTTCTATCATCTAATCCATCAGAATTGTCCTCATTCAACAAAAAGAGACGTATGTGCAAAAACGAAAACCTTGCAAATTTATGGCCAACCAGCAACACTTGAAAACTTTTCAGTGCTATTTTTGAGGAAATTCCAAGTGCGTTGATTTCTTTTGATTATACTACAAAATCAGAAACTTATTTAATCCAAATATAATCAAAACTAATAAATTACCAGTCTTGTTCAAAAATATATTGAAAACACTGCAGTACGAATAATTACATTAAACTCAGCATATTGAAAAGACAGCAAGTACATATATTAATTACATCAACACCCTTGCAACATTTTGGTGTCACTAGAAAACCATCAAACCAAGCAAAAGAACAAAGACGACGAGCTATCGCGTCACCATCCTTTTCCAATAACCTGGGTCCTGGGCATACGACACATGCTGCTATGGAATTCTTCCATATCCTCCTCAAAGAGCATTTGGAAGCCCTCACTTCCGAGGTGGCAAACTTAAAAACAGAGAAGATAAGCACACATAAGAAAATAAATATAGAGAGTAACAGGCACTCAGGCAAGAAAGTAAATATAGAGACTAACAGGCAAGAAAGACAGCAGCCAGGAGATTTAAAACCATACCACTAACAACATCCCCATAATGAGGAGCATCATTTGCAGCAATGCAAATAGCCATTTTGGCAAGGTCTGCAGCGTCAGGTATAGACATTCCAGATTCTATGCATCTGCGCTCCCTACCAAAATTGAAAAACAAAAAACATAAAGTAGTTTATTTCAAAAAATCGTCAGGAAAAGTAGCACCCAACACAATGTAAATGAATTATAACTTGCTACAAGAAAAACCAGAAACGAGTTTATTTAGCTCTCAACATAATGTAAACGAATCACATAGGAACACGTATAAGAGATGGAAGCATACATTTTCACCAGGATTGTTGCAGGTGAACCAGATCCAGTAGCAAGTATATCATTTTCAGTAATTACCCCATCACCATTCACCTTATACAGACCACGCTCCTGGACACAGTTTAGATACAGTTAAGAGACTAGGGTATGAAAGGTTCTATTTCAGAAAATTAAAAATAAAATAAAAAAATTAATAATAAGCATTACAGAAAGAAAGAAGTACCGATTCGTTCCACACGGCAATAAGTATTCCTACTGACGAATACTCTTTCTTAGCCGAAATAGTGGTAGCCAGCCAGGCCAACAGATCGTGAACCGAAGTTACATGTTTTGCCTGCAAAACAATCCTTTCTTCGTTTTAATTTCTTATTTTTATTTTTTTTAGATGGAAGTGTCGAGATGCCTTTCTTAGTTTGCAACATAAAATAATAAAAGACAAAACATGGGGCTCTTAGTGTAAATTGTAAACTTATAAGTACTTGATATTGCAGAGATTTGATCAGAGGTGTGAACGACGATGTGTCTCTTCCTCTGTCTTTTCCTCCTCCGGAAATGGTGGCCACCATGCAATGATTCAGTTGAAAAATGTTGGGTTGAGTGTCGGATGCTAAATTCGAAAGGGTAAGTTGGTAAGGTTGGTACAGCACATATGAAAGGCGAATGTATGTAAATAAGGATAGCCTAAGTAAATGAACTCACGACGATCAGCAGCAATCACAATTCCTTCTTTGAGAACAAAACCCAGAGTGGTCATTCCCTTTTCAATTTTAGATTCCCAAGGTTTAAACGTCTACCAGAAAAAGAGGGAAAAATAAATTACTCTAAGAACAAAGCTTACATCAAACCTAGCTAAAATGGTAAGCAAATTAAAAAAAAAAAGTTACCCCGTCCGGACGCAGAAAAACTTTGCGAACAGGCCGTCTGAATTCCCGGAGTTCCCGGGCGGAGGATCCGGCGGAAGACATCTTTGGTTCGTTCCTTAAATCCAAGCAAAAGAAACAAAATCATCAAACCAAAATTAGGGCATTAAGCCTACTCCGAAAAAGAAAAGAGAGATAAAAGCGACAAAGAGATATCATTTACCTACGCAGATGTCAATGGTAGATCAAAAAAAAAAAAAAAAAAAAAAAAAAAAAAAAGCACACAACATCAGCCGAGGATGAACAGTGTTGATTGATCAATTAAAATAAACGCGAATGATGAAAGAGGAAAATCGTAACACCAAAATACAATATGGATCTAAGAGGGAGCCCTAGATTCAATCAAGAAAAAAGGAGAGCAGAGAGTACCTTCTTCTTCGCGAATTTTTGTTGCTATCAACACTTTTTAGGGTTTCAGATATGCGGAGCTCATATTTATATCGGCAATGCTTTTCATGAACTAGGGATGTCGATAAAACCTGTAGCGTCGGGTTACCCGCATTTTCGGGTCGAGTAATTCCGAGATGATCGGGTTTTTGTCGGTTCGGGATTGTGTTACCCGAACCCCAGACCTGATCGGGTATGGGTATAGTAGAAAAGTTTGTTACTCGGCCCCATTATTATATCGGTGTGTATTTCAGCTCATCTATTTATTCTTTTTTTTTTATAACTCAACATCTCTTATTTATAAAATTTTTTATTTTAATAGTTGATGTGGCATATCAAAATTTACCTTCATATATCATTAATATTTAAAACTAGTACAACGCCCGTGTATTACACGGGTGCTTGCTAATTTTTTCTTAAAATCTAAAATTAATGAGAAAAAGTAGTTGAAAATTTAAA